AAAAGAGTAAGTAAAAGACACTTGACTTTTATAATAGATAAACAAGACTTATAGACAAACAGTACTCTGCATCTTATTATAGTCTTGTTCTACAGCTTACAGTTTTTGTAAACTATCATGCAGTACTATAGAGTATCTTAATATAGTCATCTATAATATATAACAAGTTATTGAGAGACAGTATTTTATTTGTTCATTTTAGGCTTATACTCTAGAGTTTATTATATTATAGACTGAGCACTTATATATACAAGATCTTTATAGCTATCTTCTAATTGTATAGCAAAGTTCTGTTTTGCTGAAGTAACTGTAGAAACATATATTTTATTAATTATATATTGTACTACATTATATAAAGGCTGCAAGCATTAGAAAAGATAAGACTCAGAGTAATGTTTGTTTATAAGTCTTGTCTATCTATGATAAAAATCAAGTGTCTTTTACTTACTCTTTTCTAATAGACAGAATTTGGCTAAGTCTTTTTCAATAAAAGATGTCTAATTTAATATAAGATAGTTGTGATGTATGGCCTAATGGTCAAGTGGTCTAAAGTGTCAATTAGAATTATATTCTATAAAATCAACCTAAGGTCCAGGGTTCAATCCTGGCTGGTGTCAAAGTTAAAATTGTATTTTGTTGCTAATCTTCAGATTATCCAGAAAATTATCCTCAGATTATCTGGAAGATTATATTAAGATTATCCTGAGTTAATCTATGCACCTACAAATAAGTCTACTTAAAAGTAGCAATTCTTATGAAAATTTGCTACTTATTGATAGAAAAGATTATCTTTCATAACTGACAAAGATGCAAAAGTGGGTGAGGTGTGTGAGGAAGAATATTGACAGCTGTTCTGGTGACAAGGCTTCTGCAGTATGAGTAGTAGCCAGCATGCAGAGTTATTCTGCATGTTCTGAGACTGGCTGTCTTATCACATGCTGCATTGTGAAAGGTACTGCAGTTTCCTGAGTCTGATAGTCTTGCTTGAGCATCCTGCCACTAGTCATCAATCTCATGTCCAATAGTCATGGCCTTCTGCTCTGCTCCAGGCCATATCTACTATCTACCCCCTATCACCTCCCAATCTCAGAGTGAGGACAAGTGGCCATGAGTTTTTGGTCTGAGATTCCTTATCATCTAGTGGGTCATGAGAAGTGAAGGTTTTGCACAATATGCAGTGTGTAATGAAAAGATTAAAGGAGTATAATTTGCAGTAGTGAGGCATAGGGGCATGGCATGGAGTGGTGGGTGGTCGTAATAAATTCGAGGACTTGAGTAGTAAGCAGAGTCCCTGTGTGGTGGTCACACTAGGTTCTCAGACACATAGTTTAAAAGAAGGGTTTCAGCCCCCCAATCGATACTACGACTCAAAAGACAATGAACCTGTGCAGTGACCATGCTAGGACATCTTCATGAAGCATGTGGGGACAGCAATGTGTCAGTGACATCATGTCACATTTGATTGCTCTTGGTCCACACTGTTCCCGAGAGAATGTGTCTTGCACTGCATCATGACCTTTCGGCCTGTGGATTTCACACGAGCAGAGTGAATGTTGATGAGTGCACACCCAACACAAATACCTAAACCCAACTAAAACAAACAAGAAGGGTGATCTGTGTGAGAGGGAAGGGCATCGCAACTGTAAAATGATGCAAGTAGGTTCCAAAACCTCGACCTAAGCCAAAGGGAGATGCAACCTGTAAAAGAATGAGGGCTCGCAATGCAAATGCGAAGTCGAACAACAATCTATGACTAAGTCGCAAAAGTCGGAGATGGGAAGCTAAAGTTGCAATGTGATTGCCAAACTTGTAGGTGAAGGTGAACTAAGTCGCAAAGGTGAAGAGAACTATCTGTGGAGGTAGAACACTATGTGGAAATGCAGTATTCGCCATCTTGATGAAGTCACAGTCAGTCTAACGCAAAAGTCGGAGTAAGACTAATGCAGATGCTATATCACTATGTCACTATGTCGCTATCGCAGTGTCGCAGTTTGCTATCGCAGTCAAAGTATGCAGTCTTGAGGTATCGCAGTCTCGCTATCACAGTCTCGCTATGTTCACTATGTCACAGTGGGGTATATCGCAGTTCGAAGTTGCTATTACAGTAAACGCAGTTTCTCGGTGATCTGAAGCTAAGGGGAACTCCTCTCTACTGTTCTTTGATGATAATCGACATAGATACAGCAGGTATTTATAGAGGGGGAAAAAGGGAGAGAAAATGTGAAAGTCGCAAAATGTCAAATAATGGATCCTGACATCAGAGAGAGTCACAATGGTTTAGGACCAATGGAAAAATAGGTAAAGTGAGTGGAGAGGTGAATGTTGTATGTTAGTGACAGAGAAGAATGGTAAAGTAGAGGAAAATCAAAATAAAACATATGCTACTTGGCCTGAATCATATGGAACACTCTAACAGCATCTCTGGTCCAGCATAAAGGTAGGAGTCTTGAAGGGGAAGGTCAAATGATAAAGCACATGAGATTCGCAAAACAAGAGGGTGCGACCACCATCATCAGGAAAACCTCACTTTTCCTTAAAAGGACACTTAAATAACTTAAATGGACTTATAGTCCTAATTTAAGGACATAAGGACAAAAAGGGCCTAAGGCATATTCTTTGAGTGTCTGAAATTTGACTTATTTGAATGCTTATGGCCTTAAATAAGAGTTGTCAGACCCAAAAGTCTAAATAAGTCCACTTCAGGGTACCCTTCCGACCTAGCTCTTAGCTTCAACATAATCTATATTGTGTCATGGCTAAGAGCTTCTCAGGTGTCAGACTGACCATGGTATCTATGTAAGTCCCATGGCCTTATAGGGGAAGTACCTGACCAAGGGAAGGCCATGAAGGGCTAATACCTAGGGACATCCAATAGTCATCCTGTTTAACCCTGTGTTGTCCTATTGCCATGGGAAATCCATGGAGGTCCTTGGTCATTGTCACCTGTCACATGGTGGTAGGGGTCAATATGTATTTCCCGCTCATTATTTCTCTGCCAAATTGGCAGCCACTGGGACTGTATACCTATCGTAGATGCTTTCTACATATACTGTAAACACTGTTATCTGAATTTTATTGTAATGAAAATAGCTGCTTGCTGTCAGCTGTTACTTCTCACTTTTTGTGCTTGCTCCATCACATCGTATGAGCAAGGAGGAAATTATAGTCTAGAACAGCACGCTGGCTGAAGCGTGAGCATCAGGTCTACTCAAATCACTAGTCTCAGTTATAAGCAAGGCTTGCATTGACACATAGGATGTTCTTACTAGTGATAACAAGTAAGGAGGACATGAGAAACTGCTGAGCAGCACCTCAACAAGAAAGTGAACTAGGTAAGGAGGATGTGAGAAACTGCCGAGCAGTATCTGAACAAGAAAGTAACTAAGTAAGGAGGACGTGAGAAACTGCGGAGCAGTATCTCAACAAGAAAGTGAACTAAGTCTGCACCTTTTGCAAACTATCAATATTAGTCTCTGACACAATGATATCATGTCCAAAGGGTGCACACTCCTCTCTTAATTGTGCCAAAGTTGTAGGTCATTCCAGTGCGGCAGCCTCAGCAGCTTCCACCAACTGCTGTGTCTTCTCTTCCTGTACATCCACCTGTATGTGGGTAGCAAGCACCAATATCTCAAGTGCAGACACCTTTGCTTCAAGATTTAGGATCATCGACTGAGCATTTGTATGCTACATCTCCAATGAGTGAGACAGTTCGAGCACAGACTCGAGCTGCTTTGACAGTGTGTTGAGGCGTTCAGTGACATCCTCTGAGGAAGAAGCAGGAACATGGGGGACAGGTGGAGACAATGGCGAGTGCAGATGAGCATGAAGGTGAGACAGGTCTGAGTTGCCACCTTGAAGATGGATGGGATGCGAATCATGGTCCTCATCATTGTCACTCATGCCCATCCCAGTTGGCTCAGGCATTCTTGGGCGCCCTAACTCCTCCCTTCTCCACCTTCAGTCTTCTTCCTCTTGCTCAGTGGCTAGCTGTTCTTCATCCTCTTCATCAACTCATTCCAGTTTATGCGGGACAACTGTCGCAATGCTACGTGCATTATCATCATCTCCGAGTAAATCTCCGTCATAATTCATTTTGTCCTGATGCTGCCGCTGGTGAATAGGACTGCCATTCTGGTGCTGTCTGTACACCTATCAAGCAGGTTCTGTGCACCAGCTGGGCTGTCCACAGTCATACATGGATCTCCTGACAGGTTACTCCAAGGAGCTACATCTCTCCTGTATGGGCCTATGGATGTCCCAGAGGGCCATGGCACTATACATGGATCTCCTGACAGGTCACTCTGGGGAGTTACATCTCTCCCGTATGGGCCTACAGATGTCCCAAAGGGCAATGCCAGTCTTCATGGATCTCCCGACAGGTCACTCTGGGGAGTTACATCTCTCCTGTATGGGCCTACAGATTTCCCAAAGGGCCATGGCAACATATGTGGATCTCCCAACAGGTGATTCTAGGGAGGTACATCTCTCCTGTATAGGCCTATAGATGTCCCAAAGGGCAATGTCAGTCTTCACGTATCTCCCAACAGGTCACTCTGGGGAGTTACATCTCTCCCGTATGGGCCTACAGATGTCCCAAAGGGCAATGCCAGTCTTCATGGATCTCCTAACAGGTCACTCTGGGGAGTTACATCTCTCCCGTATGGGCCTACAGATTTCCCAAAGGGCCATGGCAACATATGTGGATCTCCCAACAGGTGATTCTAGGGAGGTACATCTCTCCTGTTCAGGCCTACAGATGTCCCAAAGGGCAATGTCAGTCTTCACGTATCTCCCAACAGGTCACTCTGGGGAGTTACATCTCTCCCGTATGGGCCTACGGATGTCCCAAAGGGCAATGCCAGGGAGATAGAAAGATAGCCGGATCTCCCCACACATTTCACACACATCCCACAATACAGTGGTATATTTTAAGTCAAAATCAAACCGAAACACATTGAGATATATAAGTACATCTGGTAGCTCCTTTTATCGCTACTCTAGCATTCATGGTACCGGTCATTACCTTTATCATCACCGTCAAATAAGTCGCCATAGTCATCATAACCACCCTTGTCATAGATGGGAGATACCACGCGTTGACGAGGGTGAGCAACTTCCACCCTGCGAGATGGCCCAGGCTCAGATTCGCGCAAAGAAGTGGCTACACGGTGGGCACGCGACGTGTCCGCCTGAGCACTGTGAAGTGCACCTGAGGTACCCGCAGATGGCCTGGAGCCAGACGCACACGTGGACTGGTCATCGCGACGACACTGGCCGTTCCCCGCTGCATCGAAGTCTTGCGAACGATGAGATGCATGCAGCTGTGACGTAGGAGCCCGAGGCCAATGCGGCGAAGGCGGAAGACCTTGTACGGATCGCAGGTGTTGTTGGGGCAGGCGCGAGGAATATTGATCTGCATATGAATAAGGCACATGATCATTGTGCGACGAGGCCGCCGATGGAATTCGAGGGCGAGCGGGTCCGACCAGAGAGTTGTGAGGGGGTACCTGGTGAGGATATTGGGCGCCGCCACCGAATCGTTCATCTTGTGGCAACGGGAACACTTGGCCAGGTGGTGCGAGATAATCGGAAGCCTCACCCATCCGAGCTCCGGCCATAATATGCAGATTGTTGCTGTGAGCTGCGCCGCCATCGTGGTCTCTCGAATGACGAGATACGCGTTAAGCGTCACGGCCACGAGTTGATGGCTCGTTATAGCGAGGATGATGATTGCGTGAAGGAGGACGACTGGCCTGACCTGGACCCTCGTAGCCTTGAATACTTTGGGGCTTATGTCCGAGTGTCTTGCATGTCGGCGAGATCTCCTCAATGTCCGACCCGTCGGATGAAGCTTCACGACGGCATTTGCGCGGCGGTGCAATGTCAGTATTGATGGTCCTGGCAGGAACCACACTTCTAGCTCTAGGTGGCAATCCTCGCACCGGCCGGACATTAGGGGTTGGCAGCTCCTCAGACTCAGATGACGAAGGTAGAGCCACAGGGCTGACATGGCGACACCTACCCTTCGGAGCAGCACGCGCGACAATCCTGGCCCAACCGGCAACGTCACGGAGGACTCTTAGCCTATTACCCTTGGTGTCCTTCACCAAGGTGACGAGACCCTTGCACGGATCGTCATCCGGTAGGTCGATGTCAGCTTACGAAATTCATATTAGTCTCAAGGAGTATAGAGTAAACATGAAATAATTACCTTGATCCCATCGTATTATGCGCGGTATTGGGATATTTGTTCTCCCTTTCTGGCGCGCCTCAATGAAGCCATCGGTGAGGACCTTCAACTCGGCGGCATTCAAGCTCCTGAACTCGAAGTCGGGGCCCGGGGCGAGAATAGCGGGCGGCCAGTCCACGATGCAGAGCTTGTATGTCGATGCCGTCTTCATCCAGTCTTTCCAGCGAACGCATTTCGTGGCGGCCTCCTCAAATTTCTCTGTATAACTATGATGAGTACAGTAAGATTGAAGGGGAAATGACAACGTATGCAAGTTCTGCTGCATCATGGCCGTGAACACTCGACGGAAACGATCACGCGGTGCTTCATTTCCCTGAGCATTGACGTCGACCCGACCGAATGACGACGGCAGCGAGAAACCTCCCTCGTTGAGATTGACAGCCCTGACAGAACGTTCAGTTAAGAATATATTGGAAAGACGATGGAATGAAAACTCACTTGATGGCGGTGGTAAGATCGTCCACCATCTTCCGTACATCCACTTGATTATCTTCGATCAACCGCTTCACTGCGGAAGACCCACCAAAAATCGCGGATGTCTGCCGTCCGCCAGCATCAGTTCCCATGTATAAGATGGCCCCCACGACTTCCATGTCAGCCAGATTGCGATACGAAGCGGCCTACACACATGAATCAGCCATGTAGTCAAGTGGGGAAGGCACTGTGTGCACATACCAACGCGGTAAACTGGTCCTTCGCACTCAACATCCGAGCAGTGATGGACTGCATAGAGTGCTTCGCCAGGCTGGGATCCTTCTCGATCGAGTCACAGAAATCGAGAATCGGCTTTATGACGAGCGCACGTTGCTCGTCATTTCGACCGTCGACACCTTCAAACATCTTCTTGTAAGTAGTATTAACCTCCTTCAGGTAGTCTGCAGTGGTGACTGTTGAGGCATGCAAGTCAGCCGCATGCGTAATGACGACAACAGTGAGGACACTCACCATTGTCCGCCTTCGGATGGTGGTAAGAATACCACTGCCTATACTTGTTAGCAGGATTCGCAGCGCGCGAGGGCTTGAACGACAATCCAGCGAGGATCAGGACGTCCCGGGTGGATTTGCCGTGCTTCCGTGCAAGGTTCTCAGCCTCACGCATTACGACCTCTCCAAAGGTGACCGCGGCAGCCCTTGCTTGCTTCGAGAACGGACCCGTACTCTTCTGCCAATTGGCACCACCAGCCACGGCCTCTCGTTCAGCAATCTCTTCAGCCTCATCAAGCTGCACAACGCGCTGCTTCCCCTTGCCACGAACGGTCCGGCTGTGCGTGCGAAGATCATTCCGCTTTTCAAGGGTGCGTGCGTGCGGTCCATGGACTTCAAGTTCGGTGACAACGTCATCCACCATCTCCTCGTCGAGTAAGTCATCATCTTGCTCAGTATTAACATCTTCTTGACGACGTCGCAGACGGTTCTCGCGTCTCATCAGCTCGACCTTCTTCGTCTCACTGTAGTCGCTACCCGAGTACTCCGACATATCATAATCTACATTTAAATCAGTGATGAGCTCATGCACGCACACGGGATAATCTCACCTTCTTGACCTCGGCTTGTAGCAACATTCTGTCCATCAGCACCACTGTGCACGGAGTCAATACCGCCTTCTGATGACAGTGCAAAGCCCCCGTCCGAGCCACCATCAGACATACTATCGTCTGGAATTTGTCCTTGAGGCTGCTGCTTCCTGATGGCATCATGGGTCGTGTCCTGCTCGCGTCTTATGTCACGTAGCTTAGGGAGCATAACATATGGCTGGTTCTGTGTGCGGATGGTCAAATTGCAGACGACAAGTGAAATGAGAAAATAAACTTACCGCTCTTGTCGGCTTGCGTAGCACCAACTTGCGGTCGCGATTCCCGGGCATGGGTTCATCGATGGTTTGAGTGTCACTGTAAATGGCGCCGTCCTCCGAGTCTTCAGTGTTGGGCACTCTTCGGTCTCCACCTCTGTCTACATCTGTCCTTCCATGTTCCTCATGAAGTCCATCATCGCCGGCTGGCTCTTCACTGCTCTCGTCCTCGTTGTACGCATCAGCCTCATCAACCGATCTGTGCAGGTTGGCGGCCGCGTGAGCATCTGGCTCTGCTGAGTTGAGATTCGTGTCCTTGTCATTGTTGCTGGGTGCATCGATGCCGTCATCCTCGCTCGCTGGTGCCACAGACTTGCCATCACCACCGTCGGAGTCGGAAGGGGATGTCCTCCCGGCCTTAGTGTCCCTCTTCGCCGGTAGCTTCGCCTTCTGAAGTCGGATAACAGTAAGTAACACACGTCGAAAAACAAATATGGAGGGAGTGGACATACCCCTTGACGTTGCGCAACCGACTCCGCAGCTTCTTCATCGGCCACGTCAGTAGTTTTGCTCGTACGAGAGCTCTGCTATAGCGGTCAGATCGTTCAGTAGCATTAGATGATGGTTGCGGCACTCCACCTTTTGCTTTGATCCATCTGTGGCTGGGTGACCTTCATCTTTTGGTGGAGAGACATCTTTCTTCTTCTTCGCGGAGTTGCGAGGACGCGATTCTGAGGCAGTCGAAACTTTCTGAACTCCCTTCGTGTGCGACCGCGTCTGCCGCGGTTCACTCGCATCCGGTGCAGACCGCGTTCGAGGAGGCATCGCAGCTGAGTTCTGAAGTGCAGGAGTCAGACGATTAATCGAACATGGCGGAGGAAGACGAAGGGGCAGTGGATGGCGTCTACTCACACGGAATTGTCCAGATTTGAGTCGTTGCGGGCGGCCTCCAAAAAGATCCTTCCTGCCGGATTCCGAACAGAATTCTGAAAAGTCCATCAAACTGAGTAAGGGGATGGGATGAAACGCAACTCACGATATTGCGCCCGCACGAAGGCTCACGCTAGTCTGAAGAAGAGCTGACAAGACCTCAGGGTGTGCTTCAGCTGCAGATCTGCAGTGAGTATCAAAAGGACAAAGAGTAAATGATACTGTACCTGCAGCTCACACTCAAAGGATACCGTGTTAATAATGGAGACTATTGAGTCGCGCGACATTATCTGCGTGTGCAATGTTAATTCCACGGTGTCACGATTTGTCAAGATTCACGAAAGGAGCGCGGGAATGTGATGCTAGCGCATCGGTGACGCGCTCGTTGCGACGGCGGTCAGGGCACTCGGGGAATAAAATATTGCCTCGTGGAGCTAAGTGGACCCGATGCACCACGCAGACTCACCATAGCGCGGCGTTCGAAGCCCGGAATGTCTTCATCCATGAGCGAAACATGAGGTGGCGGGCAGGTTGAAGACAACGCGCAGAGTTTGGTTGAGAATTTGTACGGGTATACTTGAAATGCTCGTGCTTCCCACAGATGCACAGACTCGCAAGAAATTGAGTCTGCAGGTGAAGCTTCAATAGCGTGCTCGACCGTACAATATTCAGGCGGGCCCGTGTAAGTGTCGCTACATTGAGAGAGAGATGACGCGGCCGGATGATACTTGCTCGATATACCGCGATATGAGGGTGATAGCGGCCAGTAAACCATGATCTCAGTACCAGAGTAGCAGCAAACATGCAAAGCGGACTGTAGCCATACAGATGCGTCGATACAGGAGAGGCGGTTGACGAACTTGAGCGATCCAGGTGCCGAGTTTGAGCAGAGTGCGAATGTACAATGGGATGTCCCTACATGGAAGTCCCACGTGGTCCTTGCGTTGCCTTCAACAATTCCTATTGACTCGGACAAGTCCTTCGTCAAAATTGCTTCAAGAAAGGTGAGCAAACCAATCTATCCTGATACTCTTCCATCTGTCCGAAATAACACACTACTTTACTACAGACAGCTAACTACACCCCGTTTTCTCTGAGAGTTCCAGCAAGCGTCCCTCTAGGGACGTGCGCTCCTTCCACCCATCGATCGCGATGGTTTCTCACTCGACAGTGAGGTCCCCACCGAAATACGTGCAACATGATCCAGGTCCTACTTTTCGACAACTGCCCCACGATGGTATGGTAGACGGAATTCCTTGGTGCATCACAGCTTGCGTCCTTCAGCATTCGCAAGACCTGCATCGTGAATCACAATTATCTGTGTACATGTACGTCTCGCTCACGGATTAACGCGTCAACATACACCAGCTATAGAATGTCCAAACTAACCCTTTTCGTCTCTAGGCAATTCGAGGCGGCCGTCATAACTGCGGTTCACCCACGCCCGATCTCTGCCCAAATATCTTGGGCGGATGCCGCCGATCGCGACTGTTCGCCGCCCCCATGGCGATGTTTCAAGGGGCTCGAGCATGTGTCAAGCGGGACGTGGAAGGTAAGCCCCTTCTGCATGTCTTCGCGACCATCCCCTCAACGATTTTTTCGGTTCAAGCACTCCCAAGACTGTATCGCAATGTCCTTCCGCCGACCCAGGGCTCATTATTCTAAAGGTTCATCTCCCGTGCATCCTTCGTCATCCCAGCCATCTTCTCGCTCAGTTTCTCGTTCGACCTCTCCTGAAAAAACCCCTACGTCACATGTTCATCTCATCCAGCCTATAGACTTCCCTCGACAAAGGCGACCCCGCGGTGCAAAGCATCTTTTCCTGCCTGGCCCCGAGAGCCTGGTAACGCTGCCTGGCCGCCTCAATTTCACGCATGCCAACCTTCCGAGAGGTCGATCTTCCACCCGCACGCAGCACGGTCCGTCCGCTACTCAGCAAGGGGTTCCTAGTTCAGACGATCCATTCCTTTCACATGTCGACGATCTTCCTGTTTCAAGTCCGGAGCGTTTTTTTTTCGACGGCGTTTACACGTCCTTGCTTGATGAACCGGCCGCCGTCCGAGCGGCACACCTCCGGCAGAAGAAGGCCCGCCAGTGGCAGAGGTGGGCGACGGAGGTCATACCTTCGCTGCTCCTTCCCCACATGGAATTACTTCGGTTGAGCGAATCATTGCGTCAAAACGTTGACATCCCGCGTGCGTGCACCTGCGGTGGTGAGCACATAAGAACGCTGAAGGTTGTGTGTGTCTACTTCGAATGTAGGTTTCCTTTCCCTGTGGTACATGATCCTATGCTCATGAATTGCAGCTCTTCGCTATGTAAATATCAATGTTTGTTTATGCTCGCCTGCTGCTCTACAGTTACTCTCGCGCGGGCTGTTCCCCTGCGCGCCTCAGGCGCCCACACTCGCTGTGGACCTGAATCTGCTGCGATTTACTCAACAGCTATTTGTCCGCCTACCTCCTAACACCACGTCATTCTGTGCGACGTTAGAAGCATTTCTCGGGGACCGGGGATATAAGCTCACGACAAGGGTATGAATTCTCCTTACTGCTCTATTTATATAGCTGCTCACATCACCGGTAGGACTCATTGCGTCGACGATTCGGAAATGCGCTCCTCTGGTACTCAAACCTCCTCAATGCGACCAAGAGACACGTGCAGGATGCTGTCGAACAAGCCCGATGTTCTGTCTTGCGTGAGGCCTGTGAGTCGACATCACGCATTCGGACACCTGGTACGTTAGTAGCGTTACTTGACCGAACGCATCGTATTGACTGTCTTCGCAGATATTGGCTCAATGCGGCCTTGCTCCCCTTCCCCCTCGCCATTGCCCTCGGCCTTCGCCTCTTCATCGCACTTCGATTCGCGCTCGCAATCGTGCTTGCCCTCGGATTCACCGATGCGCTCGACCTCGGATTCACCGATGCGCTCGACCTCGGAGTCACCGATGCGCTCGACCTCGAAGTCTCCGACGCCCTCAAACTCGGAGTCACCGACGCACTCACGCTCGGAGTCACCAACGCGTTCGCCGTCGAAGCTGTCATCTCCCGCCGTAGATGGAGGGCATGCTGGACAGAGCAAGCCGTTCACACCGCCGGAGGACCTGCTGAGACCAAGTGAGTACTTGCGCAAGCGATGTCCGTTGTGCTTCGGTGGGAAGGCACAACAAGACGGTAACGATATGTGAGCTGTGCTACGCTATTTACTGACTGTAAATCGAAACTCATTTGTCTTCAGTCCAGATGTGATCGTTTGTATCGACGCTTGTTTCACTCAAAAACGTAGAAGGGGGAAGGGAGATGGGCATGATCATCCACGCGAAGCCGAGGAGTCAGTCTTCATCCCGGAGGAGGAGGTGAAGAAAATGGAGTCGTATGTTGAGCAAATTCGACCAAGTAGGGACACTGGGCGGCGCCGTGCCCAACCTCCCGTTTCGGCCGACGACGATGATGGGTATGAAGAAGGCCTCAAGGTACCAAGGTCTGTGCTCGATGGCTGCCATGAATCCTTCCTCGCCGCCGATGAAAAGCGCGAGAAGGCTAGCACACAGTTTTTCTCGGACACCGGCCTGATGGCATTGCTGTGCAGGCACAATCGCGTCCTTTGGTTAGTAAACATGACCTCGGCAGGGGAGAAACAACATTACGCTCTCGCTCTCATTCAATGGCTCTTCGCGCATCTACCCCGTTCCACCACCGTCGGGATCTTGTATGATATCGCCTGCCAGCTGCACCGGAGTTGCGTCAAGTGGGACCTTCTCGGGGATTTGTTCGACCGCATCATGTTCGCTGTCTCGATCTTTCACGCGTATGGGCATCAATGGCCATGCCAACTGATATACCATCCGAGGAAATGCATTGGATTTGGGCTCACGGACGGGGAGGGTTGTGAACGCTTCTGGAGCTCAATCCGGAAGCTAATACCATCTCTTCGTGTCTCTGGGGTGAGTGTTTCGGCATGCTCGTTGTGCATCAAAATCTAACCGCTACTTTAGTATCATCAGCGCCTGTTCATTCTCGATGCACAAGTCAAGTATCTTGACCAGCAGTCCCTCTTCAGCCTCGGTCATTGGCTCAATAAGAAGTGGAAGCAATGCCAGGCCAAGAGACTCGTAGCGGCGGAAGCAGTTGAGCAATGTGGGATCACAGATGAGGTGTTATGTGAGCAATGGGCAGCACAGGTTCGCGATCAAACCAAGCCCGCGCCTCGTACGTCGTTCATTCATATCTCTTATCATGCAAATGTGATACTGATCCGCATACTTCAGGGCGTTCTCGCGATAAAGGAAAGAAGGCAATCCAGACAATCCTGGCGCTGCAGAAGATGCTCGGCGCGTACAACGAGAGCGTGCGCCTACTGGAACTCAAGTTACTTGGTGATGACGACGACATATTCAGCATCGAGGAGGTCAGCTTAAAGCTGATGGAGGCAAGGTCTAAAGTAGTGAACGTCAAGCAAGCCTTGCAACGTAAGAAGACTGCGTTGGGAGTTGGTGAGCGGCTGCAGCTCTCACGTTTGATCAACAATGCCTTCCTGAGGCTGCGTATGAATGCGCACGCAGTCAAGCAGCGCATCCGCGACCGTCTCCGCCAGCGCAAGTTCGAGCTCGAGCGGCTCGAACGCTCGTATCGTCAAACGGTCAACAGTAAGTCTCCACATGTTGGATTTAGTCTAACAACTGACGACATGTTGAGACAACAAGCTCAGCTCTCACGCTGAGTCGTCAATCAAGCGTCGCGAGCCCGGCATCCTCAAGCTGGCCAAGACCTACAACGACTTGTGCAAGCAGATGGACCTTCTCATCAAGCAACGCAAGGCCCCGCGATACGCAGTGTCGCCGCAGCCGATTCAAGGCAACGGCCTCTTCAAGCTTGACGTTGATGACGATATTTGGCAAGACGTCGGCCTCGATGATGATGACGACATTGCCGCGGTCCCGCGTTGGCTCGGTGATGAGACTGTTCGCGAAGGCATCAAGAATCGCCTCTTACTAGATCGCTGCAATGAGGAGGAGGAGCGGTTGCGGGAAGAAAGGTGTTCTCTGCAAGAGTGGTTTGCGGAGGAGTGGACGAGCAATGAGAGGGCTTGCGTGGATGCAGGTAAGTCTCACTGCAGTTGTCTCTCTGTCGCAGTGGTCTGATTATATGCAGGTGACAATCCAGACCTCCTCTACCAGCTTGACTGTCAACGTGAGTCGTTATGCCGGCTGTGTGTGATGTGGCAGGCCCGAGTACGCATGATCCCTTGCAAACGAGACATAACCGAGACCTGGGGTCCATCCGAAGCACAGCTAACTGCAGCAGCTGCATATGAGGTCACCGGAAGCTGAGATGACGAAGGTGATGGTATCCGCTCCGTGAACGCTGCGCGGGATGCCAACGATGAAGATGAGGTGAGCTTTGATGAGGCCACGGATCCCGAAGATGATGGTGAACTCCTTGATGCTGCTGAGGGTGCTGCATTGACCGATGCATATCATCCCAGTGCGGTAGATTTTGACTCCGATAGTCTCTTCGATGATGGAGTCATGCGAATGGTTAGTCAATCCTCGCGCAAGCGGGTGCTTCACCTCTAGAACTTTGTAACAAGTAGGATTGCTCAAATTGTCTAGTTAAAACTGTGGCACAGATGAGTGGGAGGTATACAACTTCGGAAATCCAAGTATGTCTGTATATCTCTGACATAGCCATTGGGATGTCCATTTGCCCAGATAGGAGTGTTGTACCTCCCTAGAATAACTTGTTGGGAGATATGATGGCCCTTTGGGACATTCGTAGGCCCATACGGGAGAGATGTAACTCCCCAGAGTGACCTGTTTGGAGATACGTGAAGACTGGCATTGCCCTTTGGGACATCTGTAGGCCCATACGGGAGAGATGTAACTCCCCAGAGTGACCTGTTGGGAGATACGTGAAGACTGACATTGCCCTTTGGGACATCTATAGGCCTATACAGGAGAGATGTACCTCCCTAGAATCACCTGTTGGGAGATCCACATATGTTGCCATGGCCCTTTGGGAAATCTGTAGGCCCATACAGGAGAGATGTAACTCCCCAGAGTGACCTGTCGGGAGATCCATGAAGACTGGCATTGCCCTTTGGGACATCTGTAGGCCCATACGGGAGAGATGTAACTCCCCAGAGTGACCTGTTGGGAGATACGTGAAGACTGACATTGCCCTTTGGGACATCTATAGGCCTATACAGGAGAGATGTACCTCCCTAGAATCACCTGTTGGGAGATCCACATATGTTGCCATGGCCCTTTGGGAAATCTGTAGGCCCATACAGGAGAGATGTAACTCCCCAGAGTGACCTGTCGGGAGATCCATGAAGACTGGCATTGCCCTTTGGGACATCTGTAGGCCCATACGGGAGAGATGTAACTCCCCAGAGTGACCTGTCGGGAGATCCATGTATAGTGCCATGGCCCTCTGGGACATCCATAGGCCCATACAGGAGAGATGTAGCTCCTTGGAGTAACCTGTCAGGAGATCCATGTATGACTGTGGACAGCCCAGCTGGTGCACAGAACCTGCTTGATAGGTGTACAGACAGCACCAGAACGGCAGTCCTATTCACCAGCGGCAGCATCAGGACAAAATGAATTATGACGGAGATTTACTCGGAGATGATGATAATGCACGTAGCATTGCGACAGTTGTCCCGCATAAACTGGAATGAGTTGATGAAGAGGATGAAGAACAGCTAGCCACTGAGCAAGAGGAAGAAGACTGAAGGTGGAGAAGGGAGGAGTTAGGGCGCCCAAGAATGCCTGAGCCAACTGGGATGGGCATGAGTGACAATGATGAGGACCATGATTCGCATCCCATCCATCTTCAAGGTGGCAACTCAGACCTGTCTCACCTTCATGCTCATCTGCACTCGCCATTGTCTCCACCTGTCCCCCATGTTCCTGCTTCTTCCTCAGAGGATGTCACTGAACGCCTCAACACACTGTCAAAGCAGCTCGAGTCTGTGCTCGAACTGTCTCACTCATTGGAGATGTAGCATACAAATGCTCAGTCGATGATCCTAAATCTTGAAGCAAAGGTGTCTGCACTTGAGATATTGGTGCTTGCTACCCACATACAGGTGGATGTACAGGAAGAGAAGACACAGCAGTTGGTGGAAGCTGCTGAGGCTGCCGCACTGGAATGACCTACAACTTTGGCACAATTAAGAGAGGAGTGTGCACCCTTTGGACATGATATCATTGTGTCAGAGACTAATATTGATAGTTTGCAAAAGGTGCAGACTTAGTTCACTTTCTTGTTGAGATACTGCTCCGCAGTTTCTCACGTCCTCCTTACTTAGTTACTTTCTTGTTCAGATACTGCTCGGCAGTTTCTCACATCCTCCTTACCTAGTTCACTTTCTTGTTGAGGTGCTGCTCAGCAGTTTCTCATGTCCTCCTTACTTGTTATCACTAGTAAGAACATCCTATGTGTCAATGCAAGCCTTGCTTATAACTGAGACTAGTGATTTGAGTAGACCTGATGCTCACGCTTCAGCCAGCGTGCTGTTCTAGACTATAATTTCCTCCTTGCTCATACGATGTGATGGAGCAAGCACAAAAAGTGAGAAGTAACAGCTGACAGCAAGCAGCTATTTTCATTACAATAAAATTCAGATAACAGTGTTTACAGTATATGTAGAAAGCATCTACGATAGGTATACAGTCCCAGTGGCTGCCAATTTGGCAGAGAAATAATGAGCGGGAAATACATATTGACCCCTACCACCATGTGACAGGTGACAATGACCAAGGACCTCCATGGATTTCCCATGGCAATAGGACAACACAGGGTTAAACAGGATGACTATTGGATGTCCCTAGGTATTAGCCCTTCATGGCCTTCCCTTGGTCAGGTACTTTCCCTATAAGGCCATGGGACTTACATAGATACCATGGTCAGTCTAGGATGACTATTGGATGTCCCTAGGTATTAGCCCTTCATGGCCTTCCCTTGGTCAGGTACTTTCCCTATAAGGCCATGGGACTTACATAGATACCATGGTCAGTCTGACACCTGAGAAGCTCTTAGCCATGACACAATATAGATTATGTTGAAGCTAAGAGCTAGGTCGGAAGGGTACCCTGAAGTGATAAGTCCATAAGAGAAAGTTGGGTTTTTCTGATGATGTGATATCAATAAGTTGGCGCGACATTCAGAGAGGCGGCGTAATGTCGGGAGAGTATGGACTTAAAAGGAAATTAAACAGGGCACATCGGATGAGACCAAAGGATAACGAGTAAGAGGTATTCGACAGCAGAGAGAGGCAAGAGTGACGTATGAGTGATGAAAGAATGTCGAACCTCAGAGAGAAGTCACGAGGTGTTAAGCAAAGTCGAATGAAGTTGCATGAAGTCAGAAAAGTTCGCAGAAGGTTGCGAAAGAGTTAGATGCATCTTGGAGGCTAAGGCATAGAGTGGTGAGGTCTGAGTGATTGCTGAAAAATGCGTTTTCAGAGGCCAGGAGGTCTGGAAGCATATCAACATGGGGTGGCAGTAATGTCTGAGAGTAGTGTCAGTGTACATCATCCCTTCAGTGACACATCTGACTTTGTGTTGCATGCACTTCATGGAGGTATGACAGGTCAGTCTCCAGAACCATGAAGGAAGGAATGAGTGGTGCTCTCGCAAAGTTGTTCTCAAGATGCAGAATGAGAAGGCACTATCACTGCAGCAAGCTCACATGAGGTCTTGATGTGAAGAGTATGCAGCAACATGTGCGAGCTTTCTGGTAAGGCTTGTGAGACATTCTGTGTGGTGGTCATGCTAGAATGTCCTCGTGTTGACCTTGGTGGTGATGCCTCAGTGGCATGTCCGACTGCAGGAATGTTATGCTGGGGCATACCACTAAGACTGAGTGTCGATCGTTGAGCACACACGAAGTGAAAGACTAAGTGTGGCGAGTCGCGAAGTATCTTCACACGAAGGCTAAGTGGAAAGCCCGTGTATTAAAGGTAAAGTAACCAGATCGAGACTGGGGGTCCAGTCGACAATCTCAGTCTTATATACTAATAGTACATGCTGAGTAATACATGCCAGTAATGGCTGAGTCAACGAGTACCCTCGCAGTGAGGGATGAGTCACTACTGGTTCTAGACTATGATGTCATAGTCTAGATAGATTCCGGATCGAGTCAAGAAGCGTCAAGACTCGAAGTCTCGAATTAATGCATAATCGTACAACGTAGTCAGAAAGAAAAAAGATAGGTACGCTGCGTACCGTTGTAACATAAGCCCCTTTCTATGGCACCTTTGCCCTCAAAGGTGTTTCCTATGTGTCTCCTGCTTCCGATGGTGTTACGCTGTTCATTGGAAACTCTTCTGTGTACATCGAACCTGTCCCATCAAAATCAGAGAATCGTGGATCCATCTGAGGGTTGGGGTGAGAGAACAATATACTGTGTGCATCGTAATTGGCGTAAAAGTCGTCAGTGTGGGGGCAACCTTCTAACGTGTGGCCCGGTGCTTGCTTTCTGCAGTAGTAGCAACACATTCTGTTGGACAACAACGCGGGGCATGTTACGCGACAGCGAAACATGAGCGTCAAGTCAAGTCATCACGAGGCGAGGTCTTAGTTTAAGACACAAGTCCGTTCAAGAGACACTTCTGGCGATGTCCTCGCACTGAAGGTCGATCAAGGTTCGTTCTTATGACTCGTAGTAGCTGTCTGCTACTAACAGTCGATCTCAGTCAAAGGCAAGTGAAAAGCTGGTTTAATAGTAACCAGGTCGAGATGGGGATCCAGCTCGACGAGGTCGTCTACTTATACAAAAGGTATCTGCAGTACTACGCAGTAATATGAGATCGTCCATTGGCTAGATAAGCATCTTTGTCAGTTATGAAAGATAATCTTTTCTATCAATAAGTAGCAAATTTTCATAAGAATTGCTACTTTTAAGTAGACTTATTTGTAGGTGCATAGATTAACTCAGGATAATCTTAATATAATCTTCCAGATAATCTGAGGATAATTTTCTGGATAATCTGAAGATTAGCAACAAAATACAATTTTAACTTTGACACCAGCCAGGATTGAACCCTGGACCTTAGGTTGATTTTATAGAATATAATTCTAATTGACACTTTAGACCACTTGACCATTAGGCCATACATCACAACTATCTTATATTAAATTAGACATCTTTTATTGAAAAAGACTTAGCCAAATTCTGTCTATTAGAAAAGAGTAAGTAAAAGACACTTGATTTTTATCATAGATAGACAAGACTTATAAACAAACATTACTCTGAGTCTTATCTTTTCTAATGCTTGCAGCCTTTATATAATGTAGTACAATATATAATTAATAAAATATATGTTTCTACAGTTACTTCAGCAAAACAGAACTTTGCTATACAATTAGAAGATAGCTATAAAGATCTTGTATATATAAGTGCTCAGTCTATAATATAATAAACTCTAGAGTATAAGCCTAAAATGAACAAATAAAATACTGTCTCTCAATAACTTGTTATATATTATAGATGACTATATTAAGATACTCTATAGTACTGCATGATAGTTTACAAAAACTGTAAGCTGTAGAACAAGACTATAATAAGATGCAGAGTACTGTTTGTCTATAAGTCTTGTTTATCTATTATAAAAGTCAAGTGTCTTTTACTTACTCTTTTTTAATAGACAGAATTTGGCTAAGTCTTTTTCAAGAAAAAGATGTCTAATTTAATATAAGATAGTTGTGATGTATGACCTAATGGTCAAGTGGTTTAAAGTGTCACTTGGAATTATATTCTATAAAATCAACCTAAGGTCCAGGGTTCAATCCTGGCTGGTGTCAAAGTTAAAATTGTATTTTGTTGCTAATCTTCAGATTATCCAGAAAATTATCCTCAGATTATCTGGAAGATTATATTAAGATTATCCTGAATTAACCTATGCACCTACAGATAAGTCTACTTAAAAGTAGCAATTCTCATGAAAATTTGCTATTTATTGATAGAAAAGATTATCTTTCATAACTGACATCACTAAGATAAGGTGAAATGATGTCTGGGCAAGGTAACAGCGAGGAAGTAATATCTATGGGAACACTGAGTAAGATTGTGAGAGATAACCAGTACTAATGGGGATAACAAGTCGTGTATCAGAACGAGATAAAGATGAGGCATACATGCACGTCTTGCATGTGTGATAAGAAGAAGGTCCGGAGTTGGATCTGGTATAACCCTAGACTAGGGGTTCTGGTTGTCTGGATAAAGAATTGGAGGTTGGGCTCCGATGAGTCACGTGTTGGATCACGTGGTCTGGTAATGTAAAGGGAACAAAGAAAAGAAAAAGAAAAGATGCGCCATAAGTGAGGAGCATTGTAACATCAGCTCCCGTCTAACGTTTCTTGTCCTACAAGAAATATTGTAGTCTTCATTATCATTGGGGACAGTCTCGAACATAATAATCACCTCCAATCTGTAGCACGTCCGCCGGCCAGTTCGTGGTCCTTGTTCATGCGTACGTCCATCACGATAGGGATGACTGTGATGCGAAGAAGTCGATGTGTGTGAGAAGGAGGGTTGCGATAATGGGGATTGACCTGTAGGTACATGCGAACGAGGAGGGCGAGGTCAAACAGGAGTTGGTTCTGGTGATGAACGAGGAGTGGATGCAGGTCTCCCATCAATGGTGTATCCGAGGATGTGCCCGATGTCTTCATCCCCATGCTCCCTCCAGATCTCCTGTGCTGTACAACTGACCGTACTGCGCATCAGAGACCAGACTTGATCGACTCTGGTTCGGGCTCTACTCATCCTCTCCTCTGCTGCGATGAGCTCTTGTCTGGCCGTCTGCATCCACTTGACCATTTCTAATGCTCGTTGCATAGAAACCACTGCTTGTCGATCTTACGGGCGATTCCATAGGGCGACGAGAATATTGATGAAGTTGACGGGGATGTGGATGGCAGAGATCAGACGTGTAGCAAATTCTTGTTCATCCGATGCGTGACTGAGTTCAATCGAAGGTGAAGGCGATGAAGCGTGGATGAAGGGTGTCTGTGTTCGGGAGGGTATTCCATTGACAAGCGTAGGTGATGCGGGGATGCTCATAATCGTAGAAGCGACTTCAGCGAGTATGTTGTGAACAAGGTCGTCTATAGCAGAAGTGGGCATTGATGATATGTCATTTTCTCCTCCCTTTATACCTTTTGGTCATTAAGGGGATCACGGTTATCTGTGATGTGAAATAGAATGTTGTGGATGTGGGTAACAATCAAATAGATGAAAATTCATTGGGCGATAAAGAGTATTCCCACGGAGATAAGAGCTGCCTGGTCAGTTCCAGGCATCGTTCTGATCACCCCAGCTGTTAGTGTGTGGGTTGTCTCGTGTGAAGAGCGTGTGTTTGACGAGTCGTCTGATAAGGATTCGGTGGATGATCCAAAGGAAAGCGAGGGTTGTGCAGTGGAGGACAATTAGGAAGATAACGAGGAAGGCTGTCGTGGTAGTCATTCCAGTTTCCTCATCCTCTACTTGATTCCCCTGGTCCTTTTATATGCATCGAGGGTCTGCTTTGCATTCTGTAGATTGTGGGCAGGTTCCCACGAGTTTTCTGCTGACGAATATCCCTTCCACTTGACTAAGTACCTCAGGTGACCTCGGTATGCCTTGTGATTCAGGATGACTTCGACTTCATACTCTTCTTCGTTATCCACGACATCAGGTGGTGGGTTCACGTAATTTGGACCATGTATGTCATTTTTGCAATAAGGAGATAGAAGGGCGGCGTGGAATACAAAATGAACTCGCCAGGTCTTCGGGAGTCTGAGGTGATAGTTGGCTGGTCCGATGACTTCAATGATTTCGAATGGCCTCTCACGCTTTGGAGCTATCTTGTGCGAGGCGTAGTTGACCTTCAGATTCCTCGAGTCTAGCCAGACCTTCTGTCCTAGTGTAAACTTTGGCGATCCTTGTCTGACTCGGTCCGCCATCTGTTGTCGGGCTAACTCGTGCATGGCTAGTGCTTCTAGTCTTATCTTCTGCAACATGTCAAGCCTGGATTCAACCAATGGAATGTTTGTGTTTGGGAATACGGAAGGGAGTCCACGTGGTTCGTATTCCATCATGATGCGGAATGGGCTCATCTTCCGTGCTGAGTGTTCCCTCATGTTATGACAAAACTCGAGGTCTGGCAGGCGATCGGCCCATGTTTCAGAGTTGTTTCCGCAATAGAGTCGAAGATAGATTTCCAGCTCTTGGTTGACTCGTTCTGTTTCTCCGTCCGTCTGAGGGTGATAAGCTGTGTTCATCGATGATCTAATCTGGAGTAGTCAATTTAACTCTTGGAAGACTTTGGATGCGTATTGAGGTCCTCTATTCAAGATGATTCGGTCAGGTAATCCAAATTGCGAGTAAACTTTGTCGTGAAAAATCTTGGCTGTCCCTTCAGCTGTGATCATTTTGAGGCAGGGCGTAAGAATCACTCCCTTCGTAAGGTCATGGTCTACTACGACCATAATCGAATCAAAGCTGTTGGAAACGGGGAGGTCGATGATAAAATCTGTGGTGCAACAGGAAAATGGTAATGCATGTGGGTCTGCGGGGATTAGTTCCAAAGGAATATGAGTTAGGTGAGTATTCAGTTTCATCTGTTGACAGGCGGCACAGCCTTCGATGTAATTGTTGACAAATGCATACATGCCGGGCCACCAAAATTCACGACGTAGGAGTTCAAGAGTATTGAACTTTCCAGGGTGGCCCATGGCAGGGGAGTCGTGACGTAGTCTAACGAGGTCGCAACGAAGAGGTTCGGATGGTGGAACATAAATCTTTCCCTTGTAAAGGATGACACCATCGTGAACTTCCCAGTCAGAGAGTGAGGACTTCATTGGGAATGGCCCTTTGTGCGCGATCACTTCAAGGGCTTCATGAATAATGAGGTCCTTTGCTGCGTGATTTCTGATTTCGTCAAATAGCGTTGGGAAAATGGATCGCACAAACAGTGCATCAGGTAAAAGGATGCAATCTTCATTGTCACTTTCACTGTCATCGAGTCCATTACGATGAGATAGTGCATCAGATTGGATCATCTGAGTGCCAGGGACATGGATGAGGTGAAGATCGAATTGTGATAATTTGAGACTCCATCGTGCTTGTCGGCAGTTTAACTTCTGGGCTGTATGGAAGTATGTAAGGTTCTTGTGATCACTGCAAACTTCAACGGGATGAGGAGAGCCTTCTAAATAATGGCACCATTTGGTAAGGGCTCAAACGATTTCGAGAAGTTCGTGGTTGTAGATTTCGTAGTTTCGTTCAGCAGGATTGAGTGTTTGTGAAATGTAGGCACAAGGATGGAGTTCTCCATTGATATCGGCTTGTCATAAAACTGCACCCGTAGCAAACTTGGAAGCGTCAGATTCGACAATAAAGGGTTTTGCTTTGTTGGGCAGCAACAACACTGGGGCAGTACTGAATCATCATTTCAATGTATCAAAAGCCGTCTGACATTCCATTGTCCATTCAAAAGGTGGAGATCCAGCAGCAGTACGCGTAAGGTTCGTCAATGGTTTGGCAATATCCGAGAAGTTGGCAATGAATTTCCGGTAGAAATTTCCAAACCTGAGGAAAGAGCGAACACCTTTTACCGTGCTTGGTTTAGGCCATTCCGCAATTCCTTTAAGTTTGATAGGGTCCATGCCGATGTAGTTTTCTCGAATGATCATGTCTAGGAATTCGACTTCCTTAATGTCAAAGAAGCACTTTTCCGGTTTAAGGAATAGGTCGTTGTCTTTGAGTCGTTGGAGTACGCATCGGGTTCGGATGTGATGTTCTTCCAAATTGTTCGAGAAGATGAGGATATCATCCATGTAAATGACTATCCATCCTTCATCGATCATGTCCTTGAAGAGTGCATTCATCATCATTTGAAAAGTCGCTGGGGAGTTGCAGAGTCCAAAGAACATGACCATAGGTTCGAAAAGTCCGTGATTTGTCTTAAACGCGCCCTTCCATTGGTCACCATCTTTGACTCTGATGTTGTTATATCTGGAGCGTAAATCCATTTTCATAAAGATCGATGCACCTTTAAGTTGATCCATGAGCTCAGAAATGAGCGGAAGGGGGTAGGCATTCTTCACCGTCCCTTCATTCAGGTATCGGTAGTCCTGACAGGGATGTAGTGCTCCGTCTTTCTTTCCAACGAAGAAGAATGGTGAGGCCATGGGGGATTTCAACGGTCGAATGTATCCTTTTCGCAGATTTTCTTCCAAGAAGTCATCCATCGCTCCTTGTTCCTTGAGCGATAACGGATAGACTTTACAGTTGCGTGGAATAAAATCTGGTTTCAAGTCAATGGCGTGGTCCCAAGGCCTGATTTCTGGGAAGCGTTCAGCTGCTTTCTTTTCAAAGACTGACTTCAAATCGTGGAGATAGTCAGGGACCAACTCTTCAACGGTTTTGGGTTTGTCTACAGCTGATGCTTCCTTGTGTGCTTGTTGTGCCAATTCCTGTGATTTACTGGATGGTTTATAAAAAACCGTATTCTGTGTATTACAGAATAATGGGGATCGAGTACTGTGTGTCATTCTTTTGATGGTGGGGCCTCTTCGTATAGTGAAGACTGCAGTTCCAGACTCTTCATTCGTCAAAGGTGACTCCTTCCTGATGGGTTCAAATATTCCAATAACTGGTTCTTCTGCGATATAGGAGATAACTAGATCGTTGTCATCAAATTGATCCATAGAGGGTTCTAATGGTGGGTCGTCTGGTTCAGTATCATTCCGCACTGCAGGTAACTCGCCATGCTCAGTGTCATCGGCCATGATTTCTCTGATAGATTCTGAATGTCCAAATGAGGTCGGAGAAGTTTCAGTGGTGATTCACTCTGAGAGGTTATCTTCCTTGAAAATTGAAACTTCTTCATCTGGTACATCTTTGATGGTGGGTTTCAGTGGCCATTTGGCATCCTTGCCAAACCAAAAGTCACTGGTTTCCCAATTAATCATCAGATTGAGGCATTTAAGCCACGGCATGCCGAGAAGTATATTCTCTTTGCCAATACCGGTTAAGAGGAAGCGAGTAAGTGTCTTCCTTCCTCCAATCTTCATCATCTTCCAGGTACAGTAGGTAATGGTACCCATCTGATTCGGTGTGCCATCTGCATTTATGACTTTAATTGGTTTTGGTAATTTCCATTTAAGGAAATCATTTTCTTCCGCAGATTGAATATGCATGAACGTTTCGGTCACACCGGAGTCGATCAAGGCTTCTGTTGCAACGTCTTCCTTCTCTCCCAATGAAATATTCACAGTGATTGAATTTCCGCTAGTGTTATAAATAACGAGGAGAGATATGATAAGATACGACGGTCCATGCATTACTAGTGGCCGTCATTTCAAAAACCCAACTAGGTTCATTCTTCATCAGTTACGATGACTGAGGTACGAAGGAATCATTTTAGTTGGACTCTGGGTGTGACGAGAAACCGCCTCAAGAAGTCATGAGAACGAAAATTCAATACAAAATTTGTATGGGACACCTAGGGTTAGGGTCCACTCTGGTAACAAAGTTATTTACTGCCCTGCTTACTTGTTTACAATTTGCATTCAGTCGGACTGTGAAATTTTTGTATTGAAAACCGGCGCGACTTGGCCAAACATTGCCCAATATAGCTGATAAGATCTTTATCTTATCTGTTCGCCCTCACTACTTACTCCTCTCGCACTTTTCTTCACTTTATAGCCATCTGTTTATCCATTCAATGGCATCTCTAGGCAGCAAATTTAGTATCCATTTTTATGAGAATAAAATAATATATATTCTCACTTACTTTATCTTCTTTAGCTGCTTCTATATATCAAATTGACAGTGATGTCAAGATCTACCTTTGCTTTTCTAACTCTAAGGAACACATTATATTTGTCTGTTGTATAGTCATTAGTAGTTACAATTTCTGGGGTAAAAAGGAATTATTCTTTGTAGGATGAGCCTTTTACCAACTTGACTATTATGCACTTTTTCCAGCAGTCACCAGAGGTTGGTGCATTATAGTTAGTGAAATGAGGGAAGCACACAGTAATTCTAAGATGTAGACCTTAGTGGTATTAAAATCTATGCATAATATAGTTCAGAATACTCTCTTAAACCAAGTAAATCTGAGTAAAACTGGCTGAGAT